CACACCAGTGAGAATGGGGAAAATTAACAAGGCAGGAAACCACAAATGTTGGAGAGGATGTGGAGAAAGGGGAACCCTCTTGCATTGTTGGTGGGAATGTGAACTGGTGCAGTCACTCTGGAAATCTGTGTGGAGCTTCCTCAAAGAGTTAAAATAGTTCTGCCCTATGACCCAGCAATTGCCCTGCTGGGGATTTACCCCAAAGATACAGATGCAGTGAAATGCCAGGACACCTGCATCCCGATGTTTATAGCAGCCATGTCCACAATAGCCAAACTGTGGAAGGAGCCTCGGTGTCCATTGAAAGATGAATGGATAAAGATGTGGTATATGTATACAATGGAATATTACTCAGTCATTAGAAACGGCAAATACCCACCATTTGCTTCTATGTGGATGGAACTGGAGGGTATTATGCTGAGTGAAATAAGTCAATCGGAGAAGGACAAACATTATATGGTCTCATTCATTTGGAGAATATAAAAATAGTGAAAGGGAATAAGGGGAAAGGAGAAAAAATGATTGGGAAATATCAGAAAGTAGACAGAACATGGGAGACTCCTAACTCTGGGAAATGAACTATGGGTTATAGAAAGGGAGGTGGGCGGGGGTTGGGGGTGACAGGCACTGAGCGGGGCACTTGATGGGATGAGCACTGGTTGTTATTCTATATGTTGGCAAATTGAACACCAATAAAAGATATATTTATAAAAAAATAAAAAATGAAAATAAATAAAAACAAAGTGTGGAGGTCTCTATGGGATAGAAGATCCAGACTAGTTGGATTAAGAGTTTGAGAACTAGGCAACCCAGGTGGCTCAACGGTTTAGCACCGCCTTTGGCCTGGAGTATGATCCTGGAGACCCGGGATCAAGTCCCAGTTTGGGCTCCCTATATGGAGCCTGCTTCTCCCTCTGCCTGTGTCTCTGTCTCTGTCTCTCTCTCTCTCTCTCTCTGTCTCTCATGAATAAATAAAATCTTTTTTTAAAAAAAAGAGTGTGAGAACTAGACCATAAATGCTCAAAGAACTAACAGTGCAGTATTTGATAGTTTGAACATGGATATTCAAATCTCCTGGGATAAGGGAAAGAATCAGTATGGAGAGGAAGGTGGTAAGGCCACTCCCAAAGTCCTTAATGGAGGAGAGAGAGTAACTTGGGAGAGATATAGAGTGATATAGCTAAATAAAATAGACCTGAAAGGAGGAAGGAGTTTTGTAAGGAGCAAGAGGAGTACTTAACCTGCCCTACTCTTCATGGAATATGAGAAAATAAGTAACCTTTGCTGTAGAAAGAATAAGAGAATTCATATTCCTAGGACAGATGGGTTATAGGTAAGACAAAGATTACAGAAACCTGGAAAAAATGTTCTCAAAATTTTTAACTTTCAGTTAGCCAGACATCTCAAGTGGTATTAGAGGCCTGACAATGATAACTCTACTCTTTCCTTAGGGTTCCAAATAAAGTGAAAGTCACTGGTGAACAGGAAAAGATGCTTAATTTCAATAATAAATGAATGCAAATTAATGCATGAAATAAAATGCATCACATCATATTGGCAAAGATAAAAAAGACTGATGATAACCATTGTTGGCAATGTGGAGCAATAGGCAATGCTGGTGGCAATGGAAACTGGTACTACCTATTTGGAGGGCAATTTGACATCTACTAAAGTTTGAAATATTCATACTTGGACTGAGAAAACCCAGTTCTGAGAAACTCCACACCTATAAAGATATATGTTCAAGGGCATTTGGTGTGATAATTTCTGCATTTGTGAAAAATTGGGAAAAACAGATTTGCTCATTTACAGGTGGCTCTGGTAGATTCATATAATGGAGTATGTCACTGAAAAGAATGAGGTAATACTGACTGAGCTATCCTGGAAAATGTTTATTTTATATTAAGTATAAAAAATCGGTTGCAAAATGATATGCAAAATATAATTCCATTTTCACAAAGTAGTAATAACATATGTAAGTATTATGTTGAAAAACTGTACAGCTGTACTGTGCAAAATGGTTGTCACTAGCACAAGTGGCTATTTAAATTTAAATTAATTAAAATTAAAAACTCAGTTCCTCAGTATTACTAGCCACATTTTGAGTACACAATTTCCACATGTGGCTACTGGCTATTATATTAGTACAGATCTAGAACATGTTGTAAAAATTTAAAATAGTCAAGAGTCTCTCTCCTGACTCTGGGAAATGAACAAAGGGTTGCAGAAGGGGAGATGGGTGGGAGGATGGGGTAACTAGGTGACAGGCATTAAGGAGAGCATGTGATGTGATCAGCACTGTGTGCTATACTATATGTTGGCAAATTGAATGTAAATTTTAAAAAATAAAATTAAAAAATTCAAATAGATAATTCTGATCTAGAGGCATACACATTAAACTATTAACAGTGATATGGGGATGCCTGGGTGGCTCAGGGTTGAGCATCTGCCTTTGGCTCAGGGCAGGATCCCCAGAGCTGGGTTCAAGTCCTGTGTCAGGCTCCCTGTGTGGAGCCTGCTTCTTCCTCTGCCTGTGTCCCTGACCCTCTCTCTCTCTGTGTGTCTCACGAATGAATGAATAAAATCTTAAAAATAAAAACAGTGATGTGTGTATTGTGGGGAAAACTACAGAGAACATTCACAATTTATGTTATATATTTCCAAAATGTCTACTTCTTTGATAACGTACAAGTTTTGTAATGAGAAAAACGTAAATAATATTGAGATAATGAGAGAGAAAGAGTATTATAGTTTTTTGGAAGCAATAACTTTCACTATTGCCAGGATCTTATGTTCAATGGGAAGAGCCATTGGAGGATTTTGAGTTTAAAGTGGCATTATCACATATTTTACTCATATCATATCTTTATCCATTCACCTATGGATGGACACTGTTACTTTTCATATGTAGGCTGTCAATAATGCTGCAATAAACATAGGGGTGCATAGATCTTTTTGAATTATTGTTTCATTTTCTTTGGGTAAATAATAGTGGAATTACTAGATCATATGGTAATTCTATTTTTAATTTTTTGCAGAACCTTCATACTGTTTTCCAGAGTGGCTGCACCAGTTTACAGTTCCACCAACAGTGCACTTATCATGATGAGTACTGAGTAACATACAGAATTGTTGAATCATTATATTGTCCACCTGAAACTAACATAACACTGCATGTTAATTATCCTGGAATAAAAAAATAAAGTGACATTATCAGATTATGTTCAAGAAAATGACTTTAGAAGCAATTTGGTGTCAAAATCGGGGAGCACCTAATATAGACAAACCAGTTAGAAAGTCATAGTACTTTAGACAACAGATGATGATGAATGTCTTAACTAGGGAAGTGGCACCAGAGGCTTAGAAAGGACGGACAGCTTCGAGGAACACTTTTAAGGTAGAACTGACAGTGGAGATCCCTGGGTGGCTCAACTATTTAGTGTCTGCCTTCGGCCCAGGGCGTGATCCTGGAGACCCGGGATCAAGTCCCACATCAGGCTCCCTGCATGGAACCTGCTTCTCTCTCTCTCTCTCTCATGAATAAATAAATAAAACCTTTTATAAAAAATGTAGAGCTTAAAAAAATGTAGAACTTACAGGAATAAAAAATTGCCAGATGGAGGGGAAGAGAGAATTCAAAGGTGACTGAGTTTCCAAACTTAGGATACTGGATAGGTGGTAATAGAAATGAAGAGCACAGTATAATTGTGCAATCCCAAGCCTATTGTTTTTTCATCCACTTTTTAAAATTAAACCAATATTTATGAGGTTTTACTGTCTATTCAATCTATCCCTCTTCTCCATCCTCACTGTCTTTGGTCTAATGAAATCAGTTTTAGGAAAGGAATACAGATGTTTGCATACAGGAACATGTATGTGAAAAGGAACAGTATGAAGAGTTCTTAGAACAGTGGGCTTGAAACAGCCAAGGGGGTCAGAGAGTAAACATTAAAAACATATTGCAATGAAAAATTTAGGTAATGGGACCAGGAAAGCAAAAAACATTGGGACTGGATATTTAAAGCAGTTATTTATACACACTCTTCAAGTCTCTTAAGTCAGAGACTACGTATCTCCGGTAGCCTCCGCTGAAAAAAAAAATGACAGCAGAGAGATGAAAAATCATTCTTTCTTTTTCTTTCTTATACCAAATAATAGGGGTGGAAAAAAGAGGGAGAATTCTCATGGAGGAATATATAAACAAAACCTAAAATGAGAAAATACACATTCCAAGCTTTTTTTTTTTACATTACCTATTAAATGACGCAGAGGCCAGGATTCTGGAGGTCAGAAACTAAGTGAATCAGCATAAATGAGTGATAAAGCCTGCCCAGACTGTATTCAGAAGCAGACCTATCCAAAGAAGTCAGAATGTTCTGCTTTATACTCAGAGCTCTAAAAACCCATACAAACTCTGCCAATTTAATTTCCACTAAGTCTTACTTCCACCTAATACCTCAGGATCAAGTCAGAAATACTTTAGAAAGTATTTGAGGTGAAAGAACCATTAGATACTATCTAAGACTTTTACCTGAGGTCCAGGGTTCTGTAGACACTCTATGGGGCACCTGGCTGGCTCATTCAGTAGAGTGTGCAATTCTTGATTTCAGGGTCATGAATTGGAGCCCTACATTGAGCATGGAACCTACTTAAAATAAATGAAATGCTATTTATAAAAATAAAATTGTGGTCCCTTTCCTGAAATTAAAGTCCATAGCCATATGTATATTTTTCCAGGGGGAAGGGTCAATCACATCCCTAAAGAGTTCTGTGGGTCCCCAAAATGTTATACCATTAGATTCTCATCCAACAACTTTATTTTACAGATGGAGAAACTCAAACTCAAAAGAGGGAGGAGATTTGCCAGGACATACAGTGAATTAGTGGTAAAGCTGAATCTAGAAACTAAGTTTCTTTCCTCTATTCTTTACACCATGATACATTTACTATCTCAAGAGATCCCATAATTAAGCTTAGTGCAAGTTTTTAATAATTATTACCTTTGCAATGAAAACTCCAGAATCCATAATAGCTTTAATGTGTCTCAACCACCCTGAGCTCTCCAGGCCACTAAGAAATTCACTCATTGTTGGGAGTTTTCAGTTCACAAACTAAGGTAGAGAAGGAAGCAGAGATTGAAATTCATAGTAACCTCACTTTATTCAAGGGAACAAAGTGGATCCTCATTTTATAAATGAGGAAGCTAAGGCATAGAGAGTTTAAATGATATGTTGGAAACCAAACAGTGAGTCAAGGACAAGACTAGGGCTAGACTCTATCATAACCCACAGGTCAGGTATCTGGGGTTTTTTGAGTTGCTTAACTAACCCCCAAGCCCACAGAAATCTCTGGAGAGCTAGAAGACTGACTCAGCATTCATAAGAAAATATCAACATCCCCTCTAATTAGAAAATACATTTTATTATCATCCTAATTCCACCCATTCACCCTAACTCTGCAGGCTCTTTTAAAAAATTTATTTAAATTCAATTAATTAACATATAGTGTATTATTAGTTTCACTTACTCTGCAGGCCCTTAACATCTGTCTCTATTCTCACAATCCTACCTACTTTCTGTAGCCCTGTGCTATCTCAACAGGTTGAAAACAAATCCCCAATTTTCAGGCACTTTGCACTGATTACCTAGCAGAAGGCATTCTTTTGTCTCAAAAATCTGTGAAAAGTCCCTTTTACTCATACTTCTATAGAAATTCTGAGAAAAAAAAGAAAAGAGGAAGAACCCAAGAAGACAAACCCTAATATCCTAAAAATGATACAGATTGAGAGACAGGATCACATAAGAGTCATAAGGGAAAAATTCTGGTAGACAATATAAGTACAAAGTTGAAGAAAAGAGATGAAAAACAGAGTGCACTGAAGAAGACAGTTTTTCAAGATCTCTTCTTTACTGTATTATGGAATCCTGTTTAGTGGGTTTGGGAAAAATGTTCTAGACTCAAGAATCCTGGAAGGCCCCAATCTCACCTTGCCTCTTTTCTCATCCATTATTTTGCAGTAATGGCAAATGACCCCAAATGTCTCTCCTATCAATTCATCTCCTTCACCGTCACATTGACGAAATCATTCTGACTCCTTAGAGTAGATTAGATGTGGTTATGTTAGACGATGAAATAAATCCCAAATTCATTTATACTTATGTTGATCTACCCACTCCTAAACATCAGTCTCTGCAACTCTATAGAGAGAAATGATTTCTACAGCAACTGAACCCAGATAGACTCTACTAAGTTATGAAACTGAACATCTTAGTTCCTCTGCCAGACCAACATTGCATAACTCAGTATTATGTAAACTGGATTCATATTATAATAAAAAAAACCCTTGTCATCTATTGACTCTGCTCACCTGTTGCTTTTACATTTCACCCCAAATCAGGCATGCTTTTTGTGTATATGATAATGTAAGACTATGGTCTCTGGACTAGCCAAGGTGAAATCCCTGTACCTTCCAAGAGGTTCTGCAGGCTGCTCCATATGACATGGATGTTCTCAATGCCCAGTAAACTGAAGTGAATGTTGGCATAGCTGTCTTCATTTTCATACTCTTTCCAAGCTGCTTGGTTGACCATGGCACTCAACTGCAGTAGTTGAGGACATAATAGAGCAAATAGGGTAAATGATGAAAGAATAGGGTTCATCAATAATGTCTCATTCTAAACAGTTTTAAATCTTATCCATTTAAAAAGAAGTTAAATCATGGGCAGCCCAGGTGGCTCAGCAGTTTAGCGCCACCTTCCGCCCAGGGCATGATCCTGGGGATCCGGGATTGAGTCCCACATCAGGCTCCCTGCAGGGAGCCTGCTTCTCCCTCTGCCTGTGTCTCTGCCTCTTTCTCTCTTTCTCTCTCTCTCTCTCTCTCTCTCTCTCTCTCTCTCTCTGTGTGTGTGTGTGTGTCTCATGAATAAATAAATAAAATCTTTAGAAAAAATAAAAAATTAAACTAAGTTAAATCAGACAGGACATATTCTGGAATGGAGAAAATTTCGCTGAATTTTACATCAGCTATCTTAAGGAACAAAATAGTATAGGGAAAGAGAGGGAGATTTAGTGATTCCTGCTTACAAGATATGGCAGCTATGAGGATATCTGATCTGAAGAACTGAAATAATTTTGAACTTCATATCACAAACAATATTTTATTGGCTGAAAAGCCTTTATGCCAAGGAACATGTGAGAGTTCAAAAATCCTTACAGTTGGAAAGCTCTAGAAAGAAATATAAGAGCTTCAGGGCCAATTAATATTAAATAGCTATTCTATAAAAATGTCTAATGCATTACTTCATCAGATAAATAACTCACTCACTGATGAAATTGAAATGGGATACCAAGAACTATTTTAACACTACACTGAGCTTCTGATAATCAGAATATTTCTAGGTTATATGAAGAGTGTTGGTCAGGGTAGAGAATAAAGGTGACTTTCAGATAAGAAATATTAATACATAAACTAAAAAGCAGCCATGATACATTCTATGGTGCTAACCATATTACTAATTAAATAATTTTCTGTTGTCTGGCCTATTTTCTCATTGTCCAGTACTATGCATTTCAGAAGGCAGGAAGAACATGTAAAATGGACAGGGTGTAGTTTTTGTAGTAATAGAAACGAATGCCATTAAAACCTCAAAAGCACAAACTACTCACCTTAACACATGCAAAGAAAAAGAGCCTGTGTGTCAACATACTGTTTTGAATGCAAGATACTTGTTAAAGGGAAAAATATAATCTAAGTTTGATCTCTTATCACACAGACAATGTCACTAAGCTTTCATTAAGTTAATGACAAATGTTAAAGGATATCTGCAGAGGCACAAGTAGCAGCTACCTAGTAGCAAGGAGGTTTACTATGATTGATGGATGCTTCAGCAAATAAAACAGTAATTACAGCAGTCTTTACCTACATCTGGGCAGCACTAGAAAGCCCAACTACTGCAGATAGCTACCTATATCATACCAGGATACACTCTTTGGGAAAATGTTTGGCAAATCTGAGGAACAGCTATCTATTAGCAGCCTAATGTTCAAGCAGTGAAGAGATCTAATATTTACTGAGCCACAAATATGTGCCAGACTCTGCTAGATCCTTTACATATATTATCTAATTTAATCCTCACTACAGCCCATCAAGATAGATGGATAGATAGATAAGATATTATCATTCACATAAAAAATAGGCTCAGGAGGGAGGCTGGGAATATGGCAGAGTAGGAAGAACCTAAGCTTCCCTCATTCCATGGGTGTCACTAGGTAATACTCCGATCAACATAAATAACTCAAAAAATGACCTGAAGACTGACAGAACAACCTCCACAACTAAAGGTAGAGAAGAGGCCACATTGTAGAAGGTAGGAAGAGTGGAGATGTGGTTTGGGAGCAAAATAGACCTTGGCTGTCCACAGTCCACAGGGAACCGGGGGCATGGTGAAGGGTGACAAACAGGCTATCACACCTTGGAGCCCACACGAAGAAGATGAACCCTTATAATATCTGGCTTTGAAAGTGAGAGGTGACAAATTTCATGACAACCACTGGGACTTAAAGCCTAGATTTTAGAAATCAATAAGTTCCCCTCTGGAAGACACCAGAGGGCATTAGGAAATGGAGTCCTCATGCTTAAAGACACAGCAAAAATAACACCCAGGAGAGCTACAGCATGGAAGTAGTAGCTTGAAAAATGCTGGGGCACTGGAGGGAGAATTATTTACACACTTCAGAGGATGGCCTGGAGAGGCAAGGATTGCAGGGAGCTCCATCCAGGAACAAAGGAGCTGGCAGATGCCATTTCACTTCCCTGCCCCTCGCCATAAACACATGGCCACCTGAGAGAACCAATGTGGCACCCGACCTCACTAACTAACTTGCTTTCATCAAGCCCTGTGCCCCCACATTTTGGTGGATACATCCTTTCCAGACACCTTCGCCTCAGTTCCTGAACTGTGAAGCACCTACCCTAGAAGACTCACACACACATCATTTCCCAAACTGCATGTTTTGTGGGACCTCAGTTCCAGGAGCAGAGGCATATATCATTTCACAAGAGATCAACATATAAATTGTTACAATGTGCCCCATGAGCTAGGTACCAAACACAGCTCACAATAGGCATAGAGCCTCTGCAGACAACTGACCTGCAGGGAAAATGTAGCCAGCACTAAAATAGCAGAGCACACGAAACACATAAGAGACACTTCTTCATGCACCAGGTACTGGTGTACAGGGAACACTTCACTGTATGCCACTACAGGACCTCTTCCTCATAAGACCATTATCTTCAAGAACAAGAAACATAACTGAATTTCCTGAGACAAATAAACACAGAGAGAGTTAAATAAAATGACAAGACAGATAATTATGTTGCAAATCAAAGAACAGAAAAAAAAAACAGCAAGAGACCTAAGCAAAACAGATATAAATAATATGCCAGGTAGAGAATTTAAAGTAATGATCATAGAGAATTTCACTTGACTTGAGAACATAGTAGAGGACATCAGTGAGATGATTAACAATGAGATAAGAAAGAACCAAACAGATAAGAATACAATAAATGAAATAAAAAACACACTTGATGAAATAAATACCAGGCTAGAGGAAGCAGAGGAACAAATTAAAGACCTGGAAGAGAGAGTAATGGAAAATAAACAAGATAAACAAATAAGAGAAATAGATTTTTGCAAAATGAGAAAAGGCCTTGGGAATTCAGTGACTCCCTGAAGCATAACATTCACATTAAAGGGATCTCAGATGAAGAGAGAACAAAAAATCCAGGAAGTGTAAGACTATGAGTGTATTTTTCACCAGAAGCTTGGCAGGCCAGAAGAGAGTGAAATGATATATTCAAAATGCTGAAAGGAAAAAAAATCTGCATCCAAGAATACTCTAACCAGCAAGGCTATCATTCAGACTAGAAGGATAGATAAAGAGTTTCTCAGACAAACAAAACTGAAGGAGTTCATGACCACTAAATCACCCCTAAAAGAAATACTAGAGGACTCTGGTTGGAAATCAAAGGCCATAAGTGACAGTATGAAAAGTTGGAAGCAAAAAAGCAGTAAAAATATCTGTATCTGTAAAGTCAGTCAAGGGATTCACAAAACGAAAGCATGTAAAATACAACATCATACTAAAAACTTAGAGGGAGAAAAGTAGAGAATGGATTCAAACTGAAGCTACCAGTAACTTAATATAGACAGCTATATGCAGATGTTATATACAAACCTAATCATAACCATAAATCAAAAACCAGTAATTCATATACAAAGAATCAAAAGAAAGGAATCTACATATATCACTAAAAAAAGCCAAGAAACCATGAAAGAGAGCAGAAAAGGATCATAGAAAAACTATAAAAAAAAACACAAAACAAGAAACAAAATGGCAGTATCTGTCAAAATATTAGTATCTGTCAATAATTGTTTTCAGTGTGACGGGAATAAACACTCTAATCAAAAAACATAGAATGAGAACGTGGATAAACACCATCTATATTCTGTCTACAAGAGTCTCATTTCAAATGTAAAGACACCTGCAGATTGAAAGTGAGGGGATGGAGAAACATTTATCTTGAAAATGAATGTCAGAAGACAGTCAGGGTAGCAATACTTATACTAGACAAACTACACTTTAAAACAAAGACTGTAACAAGAGACAAAGAAGGACACTATACAATAAAAGGACAATCAAACAAAAAGATATAACAGTTATAAATACTGGTGCACCCAACGTAGCAGAACATAAATACATAAAACAATTCATAACAAAAATAAAGGAACTAATCCACACTAATACAATAATAGCAGGAAATGTTTAAAACCCACCTAAATGAGTAGACCAATAATTCAAACAGAAAATCAACAAGTGTGCAATGGCTTAAAAGACACTCTGGAATAGATGGATTTAACAGATAACATTAAAAATGTTCCTTCCTAAAACAGCACAATACAAATTCTTTTCTGGTGCACATGATACATTTTCAAGAATAGACAACCTATTAGGCCACCAAAAAAGTCTCAACAAATTTAGAAAGATCAGAGTTATACCATGCATCTTTAACGACCACAACACTATGAAACTAGAAATCAACCACTAAAAGAAATCTGGAAAGAACACAAATACATGCAGGTTAAATAACATGCCACCAAACAATGAATGGGTCAACCAAGAAATAAAAGAGGTAATAAAAAATTACATGGAAACAAATGAAAATGAAAACAATATAATCAAAATCATTGGGATACAGAAAAATCAGTCTAAGAGGGGAGTTTATAGCAATACAGGGCTACCTGAAGAAACAGGAAACCCCTCAAACAAACAAGCTAACTTTACACCTAAAAGAGTTAGAAAAAGAACAAACAAAATCTGAAGCCGGATATTTCATAGGAAGGAAATAATAAAGACTAAGGCAGAGAAGGAACTAAGATGACAGAGTAATATGAGGACCTTAGGCTTGCCTCATCCCTCAATAACAGGGAGATAAGTATCAAATCATTCTGAATACCCAAGGAATCGATCTGAGGACTGATGGAACAAACTGCACAACTAGAGGGAAAGAGGAGGCCACATCATGGAAGGTAGGAGGTGAAGAGATGCAGTTTTGGGGAGAAACAGATCGTAGGTTCTGCAAAGGTGAGGGAACCCTGCTTGTGAAAAGAGATGAGAGAGAGAAATAGGAAGGCACAGAGTATCAAAAAAGAAAAATAATTCCCCAAAACCACTGACTGGGAAAATGAGAGGGGTTGATTTTTTTAGTTTTTTCCAACCAGCGGGGCTCAAAAATTGAAGATTTAGAAGTCTATGGTATGGCTAGTATAGAACCCCCAGAGCACTGCAGTACTTCTTAGGGAGGGAAGGTAAGTAACCTGTTGGCAGAGGGCATGATCTGTGAATTACCTGAGACACACTAGCAGAGACGGTTCTCCCTTCTTGGAGCACATCTCACAGTGGTGCAGTTGCCTCTCCAGGGAAAAATGAGCCAGTGCCATTTCCCCACCCTACTCCTGAGCATAGGTGCAGAGACAGCAGGTGCACTAACTGGGCACTGGGTTTTTAGTGTGATTTGCTCCAAACCCCATGCTCCTCTGCTCTGGTGTTTCTGTGTCAAACTTGCATCAATACCAGCATGGCAAGACCACTCCCAGAAGACCAGCTCAAGTACCTAACACACTAGGTCAGGTCTATAATGTTTGGAGTTTTAAAACTCAGCCAGTCTGGGAGTTAAGATAGTGGAGAAGTAGGGGGATCTTGGGATTTCCTAGTCTCTTGGACACAGCTGTATTGAGATCACATCACTTGGAACACCCAGGAAATAAATCTAAGGAATGAGATAAGGATCTCCATGGTTGGAGGGAGACACCACGACAGGTGCAAAGAGCATGGAAGTGAACTGGGGGAGAGAAAAATCAATTCCGTGTAGGGGAGGGAACAATTTCCACAGGGAGAGAAAAGGGAAAGAAAGAGAAAGGGATTTTTAAAGGTGCGGTGTTGGGTTCACACAAGACAAAAACTTCTTTGGACCATGGACTGGGAAGCAAGGGATACTGAGTGTCATAGGCTTTTAGCGAACAGTGTGTGGAGCTCAAACTCAAAGATTTTGGAAGTGCAAGACTTTCGTTGGAGTGGAGCTGTGGCATGTACACCTGGAGATAAGGAAGCTGTTGGCCTGGGAGCAAACTGCATCCTTTCTCTCTTGGGTTGCACAAGAAGAGAATGTTCCCCTTCCTGCTGTACATTTGAAAGAAACTATAGTGCCTCTCCAAAGACAAAAGATACTGCAGGCACCAGAAAAATGGTTTTTCATTGGCAAGGGACAGAGGTGCATGCAGAGAGTGGATAACTGGTCACTGCTTTTCATAGTGTCACACCACACATTTCATGCACAAAACAGACATGAAGCTATTTTTCTGAGACAAAGACAACAGACACAGCACAGTGAGGTTCTTCTATAGAAGAGAAACAGGTACAAGTGGTGCAGCCTTCTTTAAGTTTTAGAACTTTGAATTGCATCAGCACTCCAAAGATAAAATGTAGCAAATCTGGCACCAGCATGCTGACATCCCTCACTATTCTGTGAAGGCTTATTCATTTTTTAAAAAGATTTTATTTATTCATGAGAGACACAGAGAGAGAAGCAGAAACACAGGCAGAGGGAGAAGCAGACTCCTTACAGGGAGTCCGATGTGGGACTTGATCTCAGATCCCGGGATCAGGCCCTGAACCAAAGGCAGACTCCCAAACACTGAGCCACCCAGGCGTCCCTGTGAAGCCTTCTTCAGCGGTGGAAGGTGTGAGATTCCCTGTCCAGGGAAAAGAGTAAGGTGGAGCCATTCACTCCCTCACCACAAAAACAATGGAACATCAGAAAACAATAAAGCACCTCCATTATAGGAGTGTGCAGCTTACACCAAACACTGCCTCCCTATGCCTAAGAAGTGAATATTACTGGGGCAGGACTGACTTTGAGCCAGGGTAGTGGGTCTCTCCCCCAGAAGACCAGTACAGGCAGCACTCCACATGCACCAAGTCTAATGATCACAGGCTGCTTCAAAAACTCAGTCACCTGCAGTTCTGGTGGAAATATGAATAGACTTTACTTTTATTTTTCCTTTTTTTTTCTTTTCTTTGGAATCAGGTTTATAGTTTCTTGTTTCATTGCTATTTGGGGTTTTTTAATTTCCTTTCTTCTTTCTTTTGGATTAGGTTTTTTTTTTAATTTTCCTTGTTCCTTTCCTTCCTAATCAGGCTTATGTTTTTTGATTGTCTGGGTTTCTCATTCTCTTCCTTTTTCTCTTTTTGTCTTTTTGTTGGATCAGGCTTTTTTATTCTTCCTCCCCCAAAAAAGCTTATTTTAACAAATAAATCAAAGCACACCTAGCTAAAGGTCCAAACAGCACCTCCCTGCTGCCCCAATGCAAGCACGGAGGAGATCTGCAGGGAACTGGTCAGTGGGAAAGAGCAGCCAAATATCAAAATCACAGAATGTACACCAGAAACACTTCCTGAAGACTAGACCACTCTCTTTCACCATACACAAAGATAAACTCAAAATGGATGAAAGATCTACATGTGAGACAAGAATCCATCAAAATCCTGGAGAACACGGCAGCAACCTCTAAACTCAGCCACAGCAACTACTAGCTAGACACATATCCAGAGGAAACAAAAACAAAAATGATCTATTGGGACTGTCTCAGATTAAAAGCTTTTGCAGAGCAAGGGAAAAAATCAATACCTCTAAAATACAAGGTACAGAATGGTAGAAGATACTTGCAAATATTTTATCAGATAAAGGGCTACTATCCAAAATTTATCAAGAATTATCAAGCTCAACACCCAAAAAACTTAAAAATTCAGTCAAGAAATGGGCAGAATATATTAGCAGACATTATTCAAAGGAAGATAGAGAAATGGATATCAGACACATGAAAAGATGCTCAACATCATTCAGCATCAGGGAAATACAAATCAAAACCACAGAAAGATACTATCATACACCAGTCAGAATGGTTCAAATAAACAAGTCAGAAAAAAAAATATTGGCAAGGATATAGAGAAAAGGGAATCCACTTACACTGTTGGTGCAAAGTGCTGTAGGCACTCTGGACAACAGTATGGGAGTTCCTCAAAAAGTTAAAAACAGAGCTACCATATGACCGGCAATTATACTACTAGGTACTAATCCAAAGGATACAATCATAGAGATTCACATGGGCACATGCACCCCAAAGTTTATACTAGTAATATCAACAATAACCAAAACATGGGAAAGAGCCCAGATGTCTTTTGGTAGATGAAGGGATAAAGAAATTGTGGTATATTTATATAATGGAATAATAGCCATCAAAAAGAATGACATCTTTCCATTTGCAATGACATGGATGGAACCATAGTGTGTTATGCTAAGTAAAATAAATCAGTCAGAGAAAGACAAATACCATATAATTTCACTCATATGAAACTTAAGAAACAAACAGGTGAACAAAGGGGGAAAATAAAGTGGCAAACTATTAAGCTAATTCAGTCTATAAAAAACAAACAGGAGAGGGGTTGCTGGAGAGGAGGTGGGGGATGGTTCAAATGGGTGATTGGTATTAAGGAAGGCACTGTCTGTGATGAGCACTAGGTGTTGTATGGAAGTGATGAATCACTAAATTCTATAGGTGAAATTAATATTGCACTGTATGTTAACTCCAACTGGAATATAAATAAAAAGCATAAAAGAAAAAATAGACTAGAGTAAAAATAAATGATAGAGAAAGTAAATAAACAATAGAATATATCAATGAACCCAAAGGGTGGTTCTTTGAAAAGATCAACAAAATTGCTAAACCTCTAGACAGACTCATAGAAAAGAAAACAAAAGAGAGGCTCCCAAATATACAAAATCACAAATGAGCAAGGAGAAATAACAACCAACATCAGAGAAATACAAACAATTGTAAAAGAATATTAGGCAAAATTATAGGTCAACAAATTGGACAACCTAGAAGAAATGGATCAATTCCTGGAAACACATAACTCACCAAAACGGAAGTGATATGAAATAGAAAATTTGAACATACTGATTACAATCAATGAAATTGTATTAGTAATCAAAAATTCCCAAAAAACAAGTCTAGGACCATGAGGCTGGACAGGAGAATTCTATTAAATGTTTAAAGAAGAGATAATACCTATTTTTCTCTCAAACTTTTCCAGAATATAGAAGAAAAAAATACACAAATTCATTCTATGAGGCTGGTATTACTCTAGTATCAAACCAAGATAATGACACCACAGAAGAGAACTACTAAACAACATCTCTGAAGAACATAGATGCAAACATCTTCAACAAAATACTAGCAAATGGATTCCAAAAATACAGTAAAAAAAAAAAAAGACACACAGGTAAGATGGCGGAGGAATAGGGGTCCTCAACTCATCTGGCCCCACAAACGTATCTAAATAACTTTCAAAACATCCTGAACACCTACGAGTTCGACCTGAGATTTAAAGAGAGAATAGTTGTAATGCTACAGAGAATAAAGTTTTCACTTCTAACAAGGTAGGAAGGCGAAAAAACAAAAAATCAAAAAAGAATAAACTGGGGGAGGGGAATCGCGATTAGCAGGGCTAAATCAGAAAGGAAAAACCTCTGGAGCAGTAAAGCTCAGCCCTAGAAAACCGGGAACTTTAAAAATCCACACCGGAGTTTTCACTGATAGAAAAGTGCTTGGTAGGGAAATTGGGAAGAATCTCAGGAGGGGTGGTGAAGCCTCAAGATTCCTGAAGTCAGTATAAGAAGAGGGGCACCCAGGGGAAAGCTCATGGCAAATGCGGGTCCTATATTAGTAAAGGGCTGGAGGGCTGCAGCCCTCCAGGGCATTTGGGAGAAGCCAATCAGTTAGGCAGGCCAGCTCGGAAGCTCCGTTTACCCTAGAGCCCGGCTCCAGACGGAGGTGGCAGTACTCCATTTCCTTTAGGAGACGCGGTCCCCAGAAGTGCAGATCAAGTGGCAGAAGGCCCCAGATCACAGAGCGCCCAAGTGGACAAAGCCGGTGATCTTTCGTTCCCCTTGGGACAGGTGGAAATGGGGAGGGCACAGGACAGTGAGAACTCTCTTGCCTTTGGGCGCCCTGCAAGCTGTGCAGATCAGTGCACACATGCCTGCCCCCAGGAGCATCTAGGCCAGTGTGGACTGGGAGATTGCAGTTAGTTATTTGCGGAGAGCTTGACTCCAGAGCTGGAAATCTAGCCGCCAACATTTTTGGTTTTCCTCTTTGTTTCATCTTCTGCCTGGGAGAGGCAAGGCCTCTAGGGAACAAAGGCCTCACTGGATAAACAGCTCATACTGAAGGAGCACCTGGCAAGGGGTGGGGCATCTCTGCCCAGGCACAGACACCTAAAAATCAGTACATGGGAGCCCTCCCCGAGACTGCTCGAAGTACAAAGGAAAAGCAAGTTTACTGAACAAGCAGCATTTGAAAGCTCAAGGACTGAGGAAAAATAGTATATAGAACAAGAGGATCTCTATCTTTTTTTTTCCTTTTTCCATTATGACTCATTTTTATATCAGACTAAAAAATACTTTTTCTCTCTTCCCACCTTAACTAAAATATTTTACCAGCTCTTCATTGTTATTTCTTTTTCTTTTTGATGTTCATGTTTCTTTTTTTAATAAATTAATTTTTATTGGTGTTCAATTTAGCAACATACAGAATAACACCCAGTGCTCATCCCATCAAGTGTCCCCCTCAGTGCCCGTCACCCATTCACCCCCACCCCCCACCCTCCTCCCCCTCCACCACCCCTAGTTCGTTTCCCAGAGTTAGGAGTCTTTATGTTCTGTGTCCCTTTCTGATATTTCCCACACATTTCTTCTCCCTTCCCTTATATTCCCTTTCACTATTATTCATATTGCTCAAATGAATGAGAACATACACTGTTTGTCTTTCTCCGATTGACTTACTTCACTCAGCAAAATACCCTCCAGTTCCATCCACGTTGAAGCAAATGGTGGGTATTTGTCGTTTCTAATGGCTGAGTAATATTCCATTGTATACATAAACCACATCTTCTTTATCCATTCATCTTTCAATGGACACTGAGGGTCCTTCCACAGTTTGGCTATTGTGGACATGGCTGCTAGAAACATCGGGGTGCAGGTGTCCCGGCATTTCATTGCATCTGAATATTTGGGGTAAATCCCTAACAGTGCAATTGCTGGGTCATAGGGCAGGTCTATTTTTAACTCTTTGAAGAACCTCCACACAGTTTTCCAGAGTGGCTGCACCAGTTCACATTCCCACCAACAGTGTAAGAGTGTTCCCTTTTCTCCGCATCCTCTCCAACATTTGTTGTTTCCTGCCTTGTTAATTTTCCCCATTCTCACTGGTGTGAGGTGGTATCTCATTGTGCTTTTGATTTGTATTTCCCTGATGGCAAGTGATGCAGAGCATTTTCTCATGTGCATGTTGGCCATGTCTATGTCTTCCTCTGTGAGATTTTTCTTCATGTCCTTTGCCCATTTCATGATTGGATTGTTTGTTTCTTTGCAGTTGAGTTTAATAAGTTCTTTATAGATTTTGGAAACTAGCCCTTTATCTGCTATGTTATTTGCAAATATCTTCTCCCATTCTGTAGGTTGTCTTTTAGTTCTGTTGACTGTATCCTTTGCTGTGCAAAAGCTTCTTATCTTGATGAAGTCCCAATAGTTCATTTTTGCTTTTGTTTCTTTTGCCTTCGTGGATGTATCCTGCAAGAAGTTACTGTGGCCAAGTTCAAAAAGGGTGTTGCCTGTATTCTCCTCTAGGATTTTGATGGAATCTTGTCTCACATGTAGATCTTTCATCCATTTTGAGTTTATCATTGTGTATGGTGTAAGAGAGTGGTCTAGTTTCATTCTTCTGTATGTGGATGTCCAATTCTCCCAGCACCATTTATTGAAGAGACTGTCTTTCTTCCAGTGGATAGTCTTTCTCCTTTATCGAATATTAGTTGACCATAAAGTTCAGGGTCCACTTCTGGGTTCTCTATTCCGTTCCATTGATCTATGTGTCTGTTTTTGTGCCAGTACCACACTGTCTTGATGACCACAGCTTTGTAGTACAACCTGAAATCTGGCATTGTGATGCCCCCAGATATGGTTTTCTTTTTTAAAATTCCCCTAGCTATTCGGGGTCTTTTCTGATTCCACACGAATCTTAAGATAATTTGTTCCAACTCTCTGAAGAAAGTCCATGGTATTTTGATAGGGATTGCATTAAACGTGTAAATTACTCTGGGTAACATAGACATTTTCACAATATTAATTCTGCCAATCCATGAGCATGGAATATTTTTCCATCTCTTTGTGTCTTCCTCAATTTCTTTCAGAAGTGTTCTATAGTTTTTAGGGTATAGATCCTTTACCTCTTTGGTGAGGTTTATTCCTAGGTATCTTATGCTTTTGGGTGCAATTGTAAATGGGATTGACTCCTTAATTTCTCTTTCTTCAGTCTCATTGTTAGTGTCTAGGAATGCCATTGATTTTTGGGCATTGATTTTGTATCCTGCCATGCTACCAAATTGCTGTATGAGTTCTAGCAATCTTGGGATGGAGGCTTTTGGGTTTTCTATGTAGAGTATCATGTCATCGGCGAAGAGGGAGAGTTTGACTTCTTCTTTGCCAATTTGAATGCCTTTAATGTCTTTTTGTTGTCTGATTGCTGAGGCTAGGACTTCCAATACTATGTTGAATAGCAGTGGTGAGAGTGGACATCCCTGTCTTCTTCCTGATCTTAGGGGAAAGGCTCCCAGTGCTTCCCCATTGAGAATGATATTTGCTGTGGGCTTTTTGTAGATGGCTTTTAAGATGTCCAGGAAAGTTCCCTCTATCCCTACACTCTGAAGAGTTTTGATCAGGAATGGATGCTGTATTTTGTCAAATGCTTTCTCTGCATCTAATGAGAGGATCATATGGTTCTTGGTTTTTCTCTCGCTGATATGATGAATCACATTGATTGTTTTACGAGTGTTGAACCAGCCTTGTGTCCTGGGGATAAATCCTACTTGGTCATGGTGAATAATTTTCTTAATGTGTTGTTGGATCCTATTGGCTAGTATCTTGTTGAGAATTTTTGCATCCATGTTCACCAGGGATATTGGTCTGTAATTCTCCTTTTTGGTGGGGTCTTTGTCTGGTTTTGGAATTAAGGTGATGCTGGCCTCATAGAATGAATTTGGAAGTACTCCATCTCTTTCTATCTTTCCAAACAGCTTTAGTAGAATAGGTATGATTTCTTCTTTAAATGTTTGATAAAATTCCCCTGGGAAGCCATCTGGCCCTGGACTCTTGTGTCTTGGGAGGTTTTTGATGACTGCTTCAATTTCCTCCCTGGTTATTGGCCTGTTCATGTTTTCTATTTCTTCCTGCTCCAGTTTTGGTAGTTTGTGGCTTTCCAGGAATGCGTCCATTTCTTCTAGATTGCCTAATTTATTGGCTTAGAGCTGTTCATAATATGTTTTTAAAATCGTTTGTATTTCCTTGGTGTTGGTAGTGATCTCTCCTTTCTCATTCATGATTTTATTAATTTGAGTCTTCTCTCTCTTCTTTTTAATAAGGTTGACTAATGGTTTATCTATCTTATTAATTCTTTCAAAGAACCAACTCCTGGTTCTATTGATCTGTTCCACAGTTCTTCTGGTCTCAATTTCGTTGAGTTCTGCTCGAATTTTAATTAACTCTCTTCTTCTTCTGGGTGTCAGGTGGATTTACTGCTTCTTCTCTAGCTCCTTTGTGTGTAAGGTTAGCTTTGGTATTTGAGTTCTTTCCAGTTTTTTTTAATTTTTTTTATTTATTTATGATAGTCACAGAGAGAGAGAGAGGCAGAGACACAGGCAGAGGGAGAAGCAGGCTCCATGCACCGGAAGCCCGATGTGGGACTCCATCCCGGGTCTCCAGGATCGCGCCCTGGGCCAAAGGCAGGCGCTAAACCACTGCGCCACCCAGGGATCCCTCTTTCCAGTTTTTGAATGGATGCTTGTATTGCGATGTATTTCCCCCTCAGGACTGCTTTTGCTGCATCCCAAAGATTTTGAACAGTTGTATCTTCATTCTCATTAGTTTCCATGAATCTTTTTAATCTTCCTTAATTTCCTGGTTGACCCTTTTATCTTTTAGCAGGATGGTCCTTAATCTCCACATGTTTGAATTCCTTCCAAACTTCTTCTTGTGATTGAGTTCTAATTTCAAGGCGTTATGGTCTGAGAATATGCAGGGGACGATCCCAATCTTCTGGTATCAGTTCAGACCCGATTTCTGACCCAGTATGTGGTCTATTCTGGAGAAAGTCCATGTGCACTTGAGAAGAATGTGTATTCAGTTGAGTTTGGATGTAAAGTTCTAGATATCTGTGAAATCTATCTGGTCCAGTGTATCATTTAAAGCTCTCGTTTCTTTGGAGATGTTGTGCTTAGAAGACCTATCGAGGGTAGAAAGAGCTAGATTGAAGTCACCAAGTATAAGTGTATTATTATCTAAGTATTTCTTCACTTTGGTTAATAATTCGTTTAAGTATTTGGCAGCTCCCACATTCGGGGCATATATATTGAGGATTGTTAAGTCCTCTTGCTGGATAGATCCTTTAAGTATGATATAGTATCCCTCTTCATCTCTCACTACAGTCTTCAGGGTAAATTTTAGTTTATCTGATATAAGGATGGCTACCCCTTCTTTCTTTTGAGAACGATTTGAATGGTAAATGGTTCTCCAACCTTTTATTTTCAGGCTTTAGGTGTCCTTCTGTCTAAAATGAGTCTCTTGTAGACAGCAAATAGATGGGCCCTCTTCTTTATCCAGTCTGAAACCCTGCGCCTTTTGATGGGGTCATTGAGCCTGTTCACGTTCAGAGTTACTATTGACAGATATGAGTTTAGTGTCATCATGATATCTATTTAGTCCTTGTTTTTGTGGATTGTTCCACTGAACTTCTTC